GCCTGGGTGAGCGGCGTGCCCCGCGAGCGGCTCCGAGACTTCCAGCACCACAAGCGCGTGGGCAACTACCTCATCGGCAGCAGGAAGCTGGGCGAGGGCTCCTTCGCCAAGGTGCGCGAGGGGCTGCACGTGCTGACCGGAGAGAAGGTGAGCTGCCCCGGTGCCCTCGGGCCAGGGATCGGCGGGAGGGGGCGACGGCGACCGTGCAGAGAGCACTGCTCTGCAGTCCCGCCGCGTAGTCCTGGTCCCGTGCCTCCGCCTCGGACTGGCTTTCCTCTCGGGTTAAGAGGTCGAAGCAAACGCGCGCTCAGACCCTCGCAGGGGACACCGGCCTTTGGCGATGCGCGGCCTGGGCTCAGTTTCCCCGGGTGGAGGTGGGGGTGCTGATTTGCCCGCGAAGCCGTCCGGCTTAGCCTGTCTGTTGTGCTAGGGGCGCCGCCTGGCGGACACCAGCGCCGGGCGTGCCGCGGCGGGTGGCTGGGGGCCAGTTAGTAGGGGAGCCAAAGCAGGGGAGAGACCAGGGCTAGAAAAACTTGGGCCCGTCTTTCAGAGGGGAGGGAGCAGCAGGGCCGACTCCCTCCTGGGCCCTGGGAGAAGGTGGGGAGAAGGCTGAGACCTCGGGTCATTTCTCAGGGCACCAGGGAACTTTTGCTCAGAGGAGGGTTTTCATCCCCTCTTTACCTGCTGGTCCCTCAGACTGTCCTCCCCTCCACCCACTCTGTCCTCCCACCCCTGCATCGCGAATCACTCACCAATCCACCGTTCTCACCCCCCTTCCTCTATCCCTTCACCCACTTGGGTTCTCCCCAACCTCTGGTGGGAACTGCAGGTAAGTCCCTGCTTCCCCCTGCCCAGGCACTGAATTAGCAGGCTTCAAAGGTTGGGAGATACCTTCTTATCTTTCTAGAAGTGGGAGAGCAAAGGCTGACCTCTCCCACCCCCCCCAAAGCGCTGGAAGCCACCTCTCCACCCTCCTTAGAAGTTAGACAGTTGTGAACCCCGGTCAGGAAAGGTGCAGATAGATCTAAGACATAACACATCTGTGAGAAGAAATCTAAGAGTGGTGGCTTACTTTTGAGGCTGGGTCACTCCAGGGTGTGTGGCTGCCCCAGGCAAGGAGGTGCCCCTGGCTTGGAGCTACTCCAGCTGGGTTGCCACAGGCTCAAGTGATCTCAGACTTAAAGCTCCCCTCCCAGGGGCGGCTGCACAGCAATGGGGGGGAGAGTAACACCTTTTTGTGGCCCATTGATGAGGGAGGCCTGGCATCTGGGAGAGGGACAGGAGAGCTCAGGGCTTCCTAACTGAATAATCAGAGAGCAAACCCTTCTGCGCTCTGCCCTGGGCTCTGCCAGCCTGGGGATTCCTGGGAGTGCTGTGCTGGACCTCTGGCTTCAGGGCCAAGCCGGATGCCTGCCTGCCCCGTTGCCCCTAGTCTCATCTTGTCTTTCCTCTTCCTCCCCCTCCTGCCCACTTCATCCCAGAGCCCCTTGCATTTCAGTGCAGGTCTCCAGCCCTGCTGCCATCTGCTCTCTATTCCTATAGCCCATCCGAGCAGGGTTCCCCTTTATTTTGTTAAGCAAGGTTATAGTAAGTGGTTTTCAAAAGTGCCTCTTGGCTGACTTTCCATGCTGAAAGGGAGTGTTCAGTATGAACTCACTGAATTGAGAAACTCTTCAGACATGGAGAAAACTCCAAACTCCAAGCCTCATTTTAGTCTGAAACAAACACGAACACTTAGTCCTAACTGGGCTGTTTGACTTATGCATTGCTAGTCCTTCAGGCAGCGGATGCTGTGAGGCCACAGGTGGCTAATCACCCCTTCTGTCCCTGGGTAAACTCCTGTTGGCACGGGTGATAACTTATTTTCATTTGAAATTGATCAATTCAGTCTGGCCATGCATATTTCTTCTCTTAGCAAAAAAAAAAAAAAAAAAGGCAAAACAACAACAACAAAAAAAAAACAGAGAGAGAGAGAGATAGATATCAGGCTATATGCTGACTACAGAGTGGCAAATATTATCAGTATATTCATCTCTTCATCTTGCCTGCCCTGCCCAAGGCTTCCTCTTTCTCCTGTTGTTCTGTGTCCCTGGCTCCAAGCAGGATTTATTTATTTATTTTATTTTTTTGCTCCCTAACATAAAGATCTTGGCCCTGGCTGAACTGCTCAGTGATGTATTCAAAGCTCAGTCCCAAACCCCAGTGACGGGATTCTGAAGCTCTGTGCTCCACCCAAGGGTCCACCAGAATGTAGGGAATTTCTGCCCAAATGGGATCCCAATGAGGAGCCTCACTGCAGCCCTAGGTACTCAAGCCCCTTTCCCTCCCTTCTCATCTTTCTTAAATGATGAATCTCACTTCATCTTTGCAATGGTATTACTTGGATGTAAAATGTCCCTGGACCAATTGATTTGGTCTAGTTAAAGTAGGTGATTCTTGGGGCCAGCAAGTGGCTTGGCGGTTAAGTGCTGGACTCCCACATGGCTGACTGCTGTTCCAGTCCTGGACCTGGTGGCTTGAAAATCACATGGGGTGCATGTGTGTGCATACCCCAAATCCAGAGAGGATAATGGAGGAGAAGGGATTGCCCGTGATCATCCCTGTTGGGGGCTGATTATTTTTTCCCTTTCCTTCTCTCTGTCTTTCTCTGGCTAGCACACACACCCTATGGCAAAAACTTTAAAAAAAAAAAAAAAGCAGGTAGTTCTTAGAGTAGTGGAGGAGATGGGGGAGGGAAGTCTATGCTGAAACCCTTAGTCTTCCTGCCGTGCTCTTCTCCAGGCCGTGGGAACCAGCATTCCAGTGCCTGTAAGCATCAGGAGAAATCTGAATTGTAGTTCAGTTGCAAGCTTTAAAGAAACAATGGTGTCATTCATAGCATTTATTATCCTAATCCAACACCTTTAATGCTTAACTAATAGATTAGGGTTTAAACAGATTGTAGAGATTAAATTTGTGTGTGTGTGTGTTTCCGTGTGTGCATGCAAGTGCAAGACGGCTTGGGAAGGACGGCTGAGTTAATGAGTCCTTATACGCACTCTTGTTTTGGGTATTGCCTTAGTCACAAAGGTGAGGGCCACCTCAGGCTATTTGCAGCCTTAATTTTTTTTAAAAGATGATCTATTAAGAGGGTTTCTACGTGGGGGAGGGTTACTCAAGTGAGCCAGGGCTTGTGATGGGCCTGGAAGAAGGTCTTTGTCACCCAGGAAGACTTTCTTCTCCAACAGTTTTCTCCTTTCTCGGGTCCATACTTTTTGGATAAAGCACTTCACTGTTCTCCTTTCCCTTCTTTTCTAAAGAAGGCAGATTGCGTGTGGAGGGGAGTGAAGTCATGTTGACTATGGTGAGAAGTAGGTGTATCTGTCCTACAACCCTGATTAGAAGGACCCAGGGCAACTTACCTTGGAGAATCAGTTCATGAAAAAGCTGAAACAAGAGATAAAGAAAAAAAAAAAAAGAGAGGTTCCTCCAGTTTGGCCTGTTTCATAGGTGCATACTCACACAGTGCACCTTTTTCTGTGTGATTTATGCCAAAATCCAGAGCACGACTAGTTGACGGTGTGCAGAGTGTGTTTGTGTGTTATGTTTTGACCTGGGCATGTTTCCAGAACAATTTGGGTGAACCCTCTATGGTTTGTCCGAGTCCAGAACATAAGAGAAGCCACTTTCCCTGACTTTTCATTGCAGGCTTCAGTCCTACCTTATCAGGAAGCTCCTTTTGCCACCCTGGCACACGGGACAGTATTTTATTTTGTCTGCCTTTCCTCTGAGGTTGCTTGTTTGGAAGTCATTTGAATCGAGATGGCCCTTTTACTGCTTGAAAAGAAAGGATGGCTCTGGGCTAGACCTAATTTTGTCCTTTAGCTCTGAGTTAATGCAATCTCTGTTGATCTGGCTTTAAAAATAAATAGTTCACTGGATCATGTGAAACTCTTAATTGGCACTTTCTCAGTCAGGGCACAGTGTCTTTGACTAAACGTCAGTTGACAATTGGACCAGGAAAAATGATCGCAAAATCAGATTCTGAAAAGTATCATTCTCTGTGGCTTTGAGACAAAGAACGAAGTTGCTGAGCAAGAATATCAAGTAATGACGTTCGGAAGACCCAAGAGGTTGTGCTTACTGCCCTGGTACTGGTTCCTGGTACTTAGGAAATGCATAGTCTCTGGCACGTAATAGGTTATTATTGCATGGTAAAGAACATTGTTAAGGAGCCAGCGGATGGTGTAGTGGTTATATCACTGGACTCCCACATGGTTGACTGTGGTTTGAGAACTGGACCTGGCAGCTTGGAACTCACACTAGGCGCGTGTGCGTGCATGCCCAAAATCCTGAGGAGAGTGGAGCAGAAGGAATTGCAGCATGGCTATCTCCCCCGGGGGCGATTTCTCATTTTCTCTTTCTCTTTTTCTCTGGTGAATGCATGTACCCTATGGCAAAAAAAAAAAATCTCTCGTAAAAAAGAAAAAAAGAACATTGTTAAAATAAAGCGTGACTGAGGAAACTGTAGGTGTGTTGCAGGCATAGTACTGGTTTGATGGTAGGCAAAATTGCAAAACAAGGAAACAGCTGATGCCACCATGTCCTTTCGTGTGTGTGTGTGTGGGGGGGGGGGGGAGGGACAGGTGATTTCTCACTTTCCCTCTCTTTCAGCCTCTGTCTCCCTGTGACAAGTGTCATCATAGCCTCCTTTTGTGATTAAGTCTCTCTGAAAGCCAAAGTAGGGTACATAAAATGATTGGTTAACATGTTTAAATATCTAGAACAAATTTAAAAAAGAAAAAAATCCTGTTTTATTGGAGCTATTTTTGGGCTGAAAATAAGGGTTGCTTACTTAGTAAGTTGCCAATAATCATGCTTAGAGCACGACAGTGCCAGATACCTGGAGTGAAGGAGTTACTAAAAATACAATTTACTATGTTTTGCAGAGCAGGAAATATGACTAATTTTAGAGGTAGCTTTTTGGCAGGTCTGTTTTTAGCAAGTATTTCTGAAACAAACAGGTGCTAAATCCTGTATTTTTAAGTGCTAGAAATTCAGGGGTGACAGCTCGAGGAACAAAAAAATGCTTAGAGAACTGGAAATTCCCATTAATCCTTGGTAGGAACTTCTTGACAAGAAAGAGACGTTTGCAAAAGCACCTGCTC